TCAGGTAGATGGGCAAAATTGGGGATATCAGAGTAAGCCAACTCGGGACAGGGGGCGAACACAGACGGAAGGACCGTTCGTTTGTGAAAAAGGTAAGGCAAGGCAAGGGACAGCGGGTACGATGAATGAAGCACAAGCAAACACCAAAACTCACCTTCAAACGCGGCCTGGACGCTTCTCTTGAGCGTGCCCGTCCGCACCGAGCTGGGGCCAGAGGCGACGGATGGCGGGTTGGTCAGGCTCATCATCCGACGGTAACGAACGTCTCGCTCGGTAAGCTCTGAGGTGATGTGGTGGTCCGTAAGAGGTTCCCTGCAATGTGGGAATTCGATGCTGCGTGGCAGACTCCTTCCCAGCCGGTCCAGTTATCCGAAAGATCCAAAACACCTAAACGCCGTTATCCGCGTGGCCCTTTTCTTCTGGCCCTCAACAGCAGGCCTGAGGTTGTCACTGCTGGGTTTCGAGCTTCGCAGGCCGAGTCCAATGGCGTAATGCCACAACCGTCAATGTGGTTTGTCGGTGCCCCGGTCGAGAGGCTAAAACTGAATGGAACTGCGTGTGTCCCGGGAACCTGGTCTGTCGCTTTCGCACCTACCCTCGGAAAGAGAGAGGCAGGCGGCGGGAACGTGGCGAAATGGAGACTCAATTACTTTCCCGGTGGATATCGTTCGGGCCCAAGCCTGGATCCGGGATAGAGGCAGTGTCAAGACGGGGTAGGATAACCCAAGATCCGTGTCGCCGCCAAAAAGGCCAAGGCTTCAAGGTATAACAAGACGGCGCCGGCCGAAATTCAATAAAAGTCAGGATCAGGCACGTCTCCGTCCGGCGTCAGTCAGCGTTCAGCGTTCAGCGTCAGCGTTCAGCGTCAGGCCAGGCCGGGCGTGGGACCAGCCTCGTGCGCGTGCGCGGTTGAGATGCGAAAGTGGAGGATGGCGCAATATCCCGTCGGCCAGAGGGGCCGGGCGAGTGCTTGTGCTTCTCGTGCTTGCTTTGGTATCGCAGTAGATTCTTTTTTCTTGTTCGGAGGTTTCTTGTTTCTCTGCTCACTGGGGTCCTGTGCTGCAGGAGAGCAGAAGTTATGCCCGAAAGCCCAACGGCTGCTGCGTGTTGGAGACACGAACAAAAAGGAAAGGTGGTGTCGCCCGATGCCTGTACAGGCCAAATCTGGCCGCGACGTGGGCTGGGCTGGTGAAAGGGCGGATTCGCGCGGGGGTCACCAGCAGCAGCAGTAGAATCTCAGTGAGATCCGGAGATCGGGGGATATGCGCGCGTGCCACCACCACGCGTGCGGTGTGAGCTTGTAGCAGGCACTTCGGCCGGGATCTCCGGGGGCGCGGGCGGGTATCTGGGTTGTAAGTTGCCGGAAGGGGGCTTGATGCGGGCAGTATATCTGGGGATGCGTGTGAGGATCTCCCCCAACTGCGCAGGTTAAAAATGGCGGCTGCGTATGTAGTGTAGTGTAGGTAATCTGTAGGTTCCAGTAATGTATGCGCGATGATCGGCGTCGCGCGTCCCGCACGAGTCGAGAAATGTTTCGGTGTTTACTGTGTGCGATCACGGCCGAATGGCGGTATCAAGTGCGGAGAAGGCGGACGGAGAGTCGCATTGGGATGGAGAACCTGACAGAGAAGCGACTCGGGCCGGCAATGCGAGAGACAGCAGCGAGAGGTGTCGGCGCAGGATCATTGACGCAGAAGCGAGTGAGAGCACCGGCGGTCGTGATGAGTGAAGGAGTGAGGAAAGTGACGTTTCACTGAGAGCAACAGAAAGCGAGGCGGCGTGGCTGCCATTCATAAGGTCTCGGCTGCTCTACCTCTGCTTGTGCTTGGTGGGCGGAAGGCGCTTGCCTTCTGCCTACAGTGCCATTTCTGTCACCCAAGGCACGGTGTTGGAGCAAGGGCATCAATCAGACTTCCCCTTCCATCCCAACACCTCACAGCTCCTTGCTTTAGGTTGCCTCACCTAATGCTTTCCTCTCACCTGACAGCTTCACATGAGACAGGGACGGGGACACAATGCTACGTCAGTAACGGACGTAAAAAAGACTTCATCAACTTTTTCGTTAGAAAACAAAAAAAGAGGCTCTAGAACCTGTCGCATGCATGCCACTCTACCAACAAGAAGACCAAGATCAGCCACAGCACACCCCCGGGGATGATTACACCGCGGCCGTCTATCGCGGGCCAAGCTTCTCCAGCACCCGCGGGCCCTGCTCATCCCACTCCTGCTTGGTAACCCACATGCCCTCCTTGTCCGCCATGATGTTGGCCAGCACCGCGCCTCCGAGGAACACCATGTGTCTCCGGCGGGGTGGGTCCTCTATCCGGACCTTGAACTTGTTTAATCTCTCCGGGTTACCGCCGAGCACCCGTGTAAGCCACAGCTGCTTGAGCTCCTTCTCCAGACGCGAGGGCAGACCGGGGTACATGCTGCTACCACCCGACAGGACGATGGCCTTGAAGAGTGACGACCTGACGTCGACGTCGGCCGCCTGGATCGTGTTGAACAGGAATTCAGCGATACCCGGCTGTTCGCAGTCGACGAGGTGAGGCTGGAACAAGCACTCGGGCGCCTCGAAACGTTCGCTACCCACGCGGATGACGCGGCCGTCGGGTAACGTGTAGCTCTCCACCAACACCGTCGTGTCCTCGCTGAGGCGCTTGTCCAGCTCCAGGTCGTACGAGACGTAGCAGAGCTTCTCCTTGATCTGGCGGACCGTCTCGAAGTCGGCCGTTCTGTTGAGCGCGTATCCGCGGCGCAGGAGGAGCGCAATGAGGTTGCGCGTGACGTCGCGGCCGGCAACGTCGAGTCTGCGGGTGAGGTGGTTGAGGACCACGGACTCGTACACGGGGACGATGTGGGTCACGCCGTCTCCCGAGTCGACGACGACACCGGAGCTGAGACCTGAAGCAGCCAGGTTAGCCCCATTGTGTACGCAATTGCTCATTGACGGTAACGGTGGTTCCGAGCGAGTATCTTACCTTGGGCGTAGAGTGCCAACACGGCCTGGATCGCAACGTAGACACCGCCAAATCCGTACCGGTCAAACATGACCTCGCACATCTGCTCACGGTTCCGCAGCGGGTTCATCGGGGGCTCGGTCAGCAGGATCTTGCGTCCTTGCGTGTCGACCTTCATCTTCTCGTTGAAGGTGTAGTCCCAGAGGTGCTGCATGTCCTCCCACTTCTTGACGATACCGTTCTCCATGGGGTAGCTGATCTGGAGCATGGTACGGGCGGCGGCGGCCTCGTCACCGCACATGATGTCCTTGATAACGAGGTCATTGGAGTCTCCTTGCTCTTCGGTTCTCAGGATCGGTCGGCCGACGATGGAAGGGTACTGGAATTCGGGGAAGTTCTGCGCTGCGTAGCCGACCTTGAGGAAACCGGTTCCTCCGTCGAGGACTGTAGTGGATCTTGCGTCAGCCACCTCCCCATGATCATCAATCATCAATCAGCCAAGCAGCGGTGATGACGGTAGCTGTCCGGGAGCCAGCCGCTGCAGGGCGGTATCAGGAGAATTGCGTCTTACCGATGGGGGCCTCGGCTGCCATTGTGAAAGCAGAAGCTGAAGCTGCAGGGCTGAGAGGTTGAGCTTCTGTCTTGGGAGGGAGGGAGAGGTGTGGTTGGGTTGGGGAGAGCACCCGGGAAGCTGTTACGTCTGTGTCGTCGATAGTGGGGTTGGTTGGGTTCGCTGCCTCCAGCTGTCCAGTGCCACGGCTGCAACTGGATCGTCACACAGCGGTGGCTGAGCAGGCGCTGTCACGTGATACCCCGCAGCACGGGCTGCACCACCACACCTTCCTTCGACACCTGTGCTCGTCTGAGCGGTGCACCTGCTGAGTGTGAGATGTCGCTGTCAGCGTAACCGGGCCGGCAAACCCCCACAATTGTCGGCACTGTCTCCACTGGCCGGCGGCGTGAACGCAGCTTTTAGCCCGCCGGGGTTGCTGCTTTTCTCTTGTGAATATTTCCCAAGGTGTCGTGAACGTATCGCAGACTTCTCATCAAGTTTCACGCCAAACAGCAACCATGACGACCCGGCTTCTCCGTCGAAATATTAAGATCCTCGTGATCAACCCCAACTCCTCTCTCGACATGACGAGGGGCATGGAGAAGGCCATCCAGGGAATGCCCCTGCACGATGTAAGCTGGGGGGTTGAAGCTGTCAACATGCCATCCGTGATGGTTTGACAGTAAAAAGCATCACTGGCTGATCTCTAACGTCAGTCCCTCGAAATCCACACTTACACGGCGCCGTCCGACAGCCCCGCCAGCATCAACGACGACGCAGACATCCAGCGCAGCACCGAGGCCGTGCTCAGCAACCTCACCAGCGAGCAGATTGAGCAGTACGACGGCTTGCTCGTCGCTTGCTACAGCGTTCACACGCTCGTCGAGAAGCTCTCTCAAAAGTACCACCACAAGCTAGCCGTCACCGGCATCTTCGAGGCAAGTGTCCTCACCGCAATCTCACTCCTTCCTCACACCTCACCCGCCGCCACCTGCTCAAAATGGGGCGTGGTGACCACTGGCGACTTTTGGGAGAAGCATCTCAGCCATGGAGTCAAGTGCTATCTTGGGCAAGCTGAAGAGGCAGAAAACGCCAAATTTGGTGGAGTCATGACGACTGGATTGACTGCTGGAGATTTCCATCACGTTAGCCCTGAAGAGGTCAAGGAGAAGCTCGTCAAGGCGACCAAGAAACTGCTCAACAGTGGCGATGTTGGCTGCGTGGTCATGGGATGTGCTGGCATGGCGGGCCTTGAGGAGATCATTCGCAATTCGGCGATAGAGGTCTACGGTAAGGAGAAGGGTAGCCAGATCTACGTTGTTGATGGCGTCAAAGCTGGCATTTTGCAATTGGAACAGACCGTCAGAAGCAGGAGGATGTTTCAAAGCTGAGCAATATCAATATACCCTATGGAAGTCTGTAAACGCCTTTTATTCCCATCCAATTACCTTGATAATGATTGAATCGCCACAATTCTAGACGTAAGCTTAATCCAAGCGACGGGTCCGACCCCAGACTTCGTCGGCATCCTTCTTTCCAAGCGTCTCCGGCACCTTGACAGACACGAAGAGCGCAAACAATAGCGCAAATCCGGCAAACAGGAAGTACACCCAGCCTGCGCCGCCAAGCAGTTGGTTCAGGAAGTTGTTGACAATTGGGAAGAATTGAGCAACCAGGAACGTTGCTACGTAATTCGCACCCAAAGACCACGACTGAATGGCGCCAACAGCCTCCTGTCCGACCAGCTCCGACGCCAGAATGAAGGGCACTGGCCCAAGACCAACAGCGAAGAAGGCCACAAAAGACACGACGGAAACCGCCGACAAGATCTTGACGCCAAACTTGATCGAGAGAGCGAGGATCAGGGAGCTGGTGCCCTGGCCGATGATGGAAATCAGGATGCACCTCTTTCGGCCAAGCTTGTCGGGCAGCGGGGAGCACGCAGCCGTGGTAATCAGGTTGACAACGGAGATCAGAATGGTAAGCAGGGCAGAGCTGACGGGGAGAAGGTCCGTCAGGAGGGACACGGAGTACATGATGATCGAGTTGATACCGCACAGTTGTTGCGCAAACATGATGCCGACAACAGCAGCGATGGCGGGCCTGTACAGTGGCTCCTTGACAACCTCAAAGAAGCCGAGGTGGACGGGCGAAGTCTTCTTGGGAAGCCCTGGAGAAGTCGGGGGCGTAGCGTCGCTCTGGGCCAAGAGACCCTCCGCCTCAGCAACGGCATTATCGGCGTCCCAAGCCTCGACCTCCTCCTTGATGTCGAAGTCCTTGCCGCGGATCCGCTGCAAGGTGCGGCGGGCTTTTGGAGCATCTCCGTTGGCAGCAAGCCAAGCCGGGCTCTCGGGAACAAGGAGCAGACCCGAGGCCTGGGCCAGAGAAACAATCACACCAGCGGCCAGGATCCAGCGCCACTGCTTTCCGTAGCTCAAGAAGTATCCCAGAGTCTGGACTCCCAGAATGCCGACGTTGATGGAAACCTGTGTCATGGCGCCGAACAGGCCGCGCTCCTTGGGCGGTGCAATCTCGCTGATGTACAACGGCACAATGACAGTCGAGGCTCCGGCCGCAGCACCAGTAAAGAAGCGGCCAATCGACAGGACTGGCGCGTTGCCGGCAAGCGTCTCGATCACAGCGCCAATAATGTAAAAGACCGCGGTGAGGCGCATCGCAGGGAGGCGGCCGCGCTTAGAGGAGAAGGGGCCGGCGCAGAGGGCACCGATCAGGCCGCCGACGGTGAAGATCGAGGAAACGGTCGCGAAGACGGCATCGGTCATGGGAATACAGTCGGGGAGCCAGCTCTCGGTGTCGGGCGACTTGGAGTGCACCCATTTCAGCATGGTCGTCTTGGCCTGGATCGACTTCTTCCGGCAAGTGAGGACATCTTGGGGCGCGTTGAGCTCGGCCTAGACAGGAATCACCGTCGTTAGCTGTCGTGCTGGGTGAGGGACGGAAGTCGGAGGAGGCGGGCGAAGGTATGATGCAATACGTACCAGATGGAAGCCGAACTGCAGGGGGCCCAGCGTCGAGACACAGATCAGTAGCAGCAGGTAAGGGCTGACATCGTGCATGCACTGGCGAAGACCAGAGGGAGCCATGTTGGACGTGTCTCTCGCGATGTTTTCCAATTGTGTCGTCCAAAGTGTGGTGTGAGGGAGAGAAAGAAGCTTTGTACGAAGTGAAGGGTCCGGACCTGAGGGGAAGGGAAGTCGGGACGAGGAAGCGAGCCTTGAATGGAACCTGGAACCGGTTTCTGGGGAAAGACGCCGGCGGGCGGCATCCCATGACAGCGCCCACATGCCACAGCTGCCACACACCACTGCACCTCAGCACCTCAGTTAGTCCAGGTCCCTGAGCGCCTCCATGTTCCAGGTTCCGCAAGCGGGGGCCCGCCGGTGATCAGCGCATGCGGCACCTACGGCATTAAGCTTAGGTGCCTACGCGGCCCGTATTAGCGCACAATGGACCGCTGAGCTGGATTCCATGTCACCAAGGAGCTCCTTTCTATCAGCTCGTATTCTGGGAGAGCGTAGACTCGCAAATTATGTTTATGCAAGCCAGTTCATGGAATGATTATGCAGATCTTTGACAGGTTTTTGTTGTCTGGAGAAACTCTGTCGGAACAATCGGACATCGATCGTAGCATCTTGCAGGGACTCAAGCTGCGGATATTCGGTCTTCTTTCGATGAGAAAACATGGCGTTTTGTGTTTTATGAGCCCGTCACTTACGTCGGACGGACGGGATAAACAGGCCAAGATTGGGCTGACGATTTATTTGACTCTTTCCAATAGTTACTCGGTCTTTCCCAAAGCCCGTCCAACAGCCACCTCCAAAGTCTCAACATCGTTGGGCCCAACGCCAATGCTCTCGTTGTCCGTCTTCTCGTACAGCGTACCGCCCTCGGCCCAGATGCGGCGCAGGGTGAAGATGGTCGCGTACGGCTTGCCATCAGCCCACGCCTTCTCCTCGGCCTCTTCGAGCTTCTTCAGCGGCACGTAGGAGGTTTCCCACTTTGCGCCCGTCTGCTTCTCGAACTCGGCCAGAATCTGCTTCGGTGTCGCGACGAACGACTGCACCTTCAGGGCCTTGTTGAACGACGCATCAGGGTGTCTGAGCGAGGCGACTAGGGTTTTGCCAACGCTGTAAAGTGGTTAGCAACATTCAAGTGAGCGCCAGCCAAGGATGAAACTCACTCCTTCATGGTGATCAAGCCGACCTTTCCCTCGCCATCTTCCACCAAGACGGCCTTCTTGGTCTTGACATCATATCCACCGGCCTCCGGTGCCACCGGGGCGAGAGACAGGTACATGTCGACGTACGGTCCCGTCACCAGGTACGTGTACTTGAGCCGCTTGACGTTCTCGCGGATGTACTTGCGCACCTTGAGCTTGGCCTGGTGAGGCTTCTCGTTGGGGCTCTTGGGGCCGTACTCGATGTCCGTGCCGTACTCTGAGGGGAAGAACCACTTCACAGAGTCGGTCTCCTCGGCCAGCTTGATGAGGTCGATTTGCTTCTCAATCACGTTCCGGCCCAGAGCCGAGACGACGGTGTCGTGCTCCTTGTAGGCAGCTTTAACCTCGTCATTGTTGTCGACGTTGCCGCTGATGACCTTGGCGCCCTTCTTCTTCCACCCCTCAAGCAGCGCCGCCTTGTTCTCTACCGTAGAGGGTGATGTGAAGATGGTGATCTGGCCGAATGCCGGGCTGGCGTCCAATAGGGCTTCGGTGATGAACAGGCCAATGTTGCCCGTGGCGCCGAAGACGAGAATCTTGGAAGGGGTAAAGGACATGTTGAGTTGCGGTGTTGCGAGTGACGGATGAATTACAGATTACGGGGAGCTGTCAAAGCGGGGTAAAACCAGCAGCTTGCTTCTCAGGGTGAAGCTGTAGATAAACGTCCACTGCAATTTGGCAGGATGGTTGCTTCTTCTTATAGCTTCACTTGATCGGAGCGATAACGGCACGTCAAAGTCACCCCGCTGAAACTCGCATTTGTAAGTCGAGCTCCGACCCCTCGGGAACTGACGCCATCCCAAGACGTGCTGGGCAAGTGGAGGAGCAACAAGAGGGGAACTTGGATGCGAGAGCTCACAGCTGCCGTTGATCCCCGCTGTACATCTGATGTTTTGCGCCCTTTCGCGCCCTTCAAAAAAAAAAACATTTCCCCAACCCGCCGTCACTGGTAACCCAAAATAACTCCACCAAGTTCCAGATAGCTCCAGGATTCAAGGCCCGTTCAATTGATTTATCCCAGTACTTTCTCGACTTGTTTCCCGCGAAAATACGCCCTTTCATGAACACACGTCCAGATAAAGCAGGCGGCCAAGGCAGCCTCCCCCGACTCGCACCACGTCGGGTACGTACCTCTGCACCAACCAATGGACCCCTGCCCGGACGGTGTTGTCTGAGAGGCTGGCGGGCCCAGCGCGGGAGACGGGCGACCCCACCACCGATCGGTGAACTCTTGCCTCGAAATTTTTTTTGGCCGACCGTACGCTGGAACTTTTTTTTGCCCAAAAAAAGAAGATCAAGGGAACCAGCGTCCTCCGCGACCCGCCCAATTCAACACACAGCTCCCCAGCCGCAGCCATGGCGGCAATTGACTCCCCCGTCACGAACGGGCACAAGTCCGACAAGAAGAGCAAAAAGGACAAGAAGGAGAAGAAGCGCTCGCGCGAGGAGGACGCTGTCGAGGGCGAGGAGCGCAAGCACAAGCGCTCCAAGAGCGTGGTGCCAAAGGACGATGACAACAACAGCGACGATGATACCCCGGCCGCCTCGCAGGACCTCTCCGTAGCCGCCTCCACGACCAACGGCGAGCCCTCGTCCGAGAAGAAGCGCAAACACAAGAAGGACAAGCACAGGAAGTCGACAGACGAGGCCGAAGCCGATGAGGACGCATCCGATGCCGAGCGCAAGGAGAAGAAGGACAAGAAGAAGAAGCGCAAGTCACAAGGCCTTGAAGAGGTCTCAGCCGATACCCCCGCGAGCGAGAAGAAGGAGAAGAAGAGCAAAAAGTCCAAGGCGGCCGCCGTCGCTGAGCCAGAAGCAGCCGACGCCGACGACGAGAACGCGATGGACGTCGATGCCCCCGCGGAAACGAAATCGACATCCCGAGCCCACCAACCCCCCGACGCACCCTCCAAGCCGCAGTTCCCCTTCTACACCCAGACCGTCTCGCTATATCTCCCCATCTACCCCATAGGCTGGGACACGCCCTGCACCGCCGCCGCAACGCAGCACCTCGAGCCCCTCGTGAACCGCTACGTCCCCGACTTCAAGGGCGTCCTCCTCGCCTTCCGCAACATCGCCGTCTCAGAGCAGCCCGGCCGCCGCGGCGCCGCCACCTCGGACAGCCAGCGCTGCGACCTCGTCTCCGTCGACGAGTACGCCGTCGGCTTCGGCTACGTCACCGTCGACGTCGACCTCTTCGTCCCCCGCCGCGGCGCCTGGATGGAGGGCGTCATCAACCTCGAGAACGAGGGCCACATCGGCGTCGTGTGCTGGAGCAAGTTCAACGCCAGCATCGAGTCCGCGCGCCTGCCGGCCGAGTGGCGCTGGGTGCACGCCGACTCCGCCGAGGCTGCGCAGTACGTCGCGGACCCCTTCGCCGCGGAGGAGGACGCCGCCGAGGCGCAGGCGGCCGAGGACGAGCACGGCGCCGTGAGCCAGATCCACACCACGGGCTTCTGGGTCGACGGCGCCGGCGAGAAGGTCAAGGGCCGCGTCAGGTTCCGCATCAAGGCCTTCGACGTCGGCGTCAGCGGCGACCACGGCTACCTCAGCCTCGAGGGCACGATGCTCGACGCCGCGGGCGAGATGGCGGCCGTGAAGCGCGACGCGGAGCAGGAGCGCCGGCGCAGGGTGGGCAAGAGCGGCGGCATCCTGAGCAAGGAGCGCCGGCGCATGCCCGAGTTCAGCGTAACCAAGTTTGGCGTGGTCGAGGACGAGGAGGAGAAGGCGCTGAAGCAGGATGTGTGGAATACGACGACCCCCGTGACGGATGACGAGGGCGCGGGCAAGGACAAGGAGGCGTTTGCTGGCATTGCGGAGGAATAGTTTTGCAATGCATCCACGATTCCCCTGCGGGATGGCTTGTTCGGGCGTTTTGAGGTTAGGGAAAAACTGATAATGATAACACTGTACATCATTCATAAAGACTGCTTGGACTTCTTCCCTGTTATTTTGGACACAACCTGGTAGCTGGGTAACCTAGAAAAGTAAACCTGTCTTGGCTTTGCCGTTGATGAACCCCTCTGGCCGACCGTACTCCTCGATCCCGTTGAAATAGGCCGGCCATTGCTATCTGCATCCACGAGCCTCCCCATGTCCATATTGCCAAGCCGCCATTGAGTTTCGTGTTCTTATTTCATCACAAGATGCCGACCCAGCAAGCAACGAAGAACAGGAAGACTCCGAACCGAACGCCCGCGACGATCTCCTCCTCGGGGAAGTAGATATCCAACAGCCAAGCCGGCGAGCCTATGCAGATTAAAGTCAGCGCAGCTCCGAGCGCGGAAAACCGCGAAGAATTCCGAAAGAAAAACATACCGCAGACCGGGCCTTGACCGTCACGGTAGCCCAAGATCAGCAGAATCAGCCAGACCAGAATCTTGCCGAAGGCCATCGTGAACCACATGGTGAGGTACAGGGCGAAGAGCCAGAAGTAGGTCTCAGCGAGGGCCGTGACCCATCTCTTGAGGGTTGGAAGAATGGTTGAAGTCATTCTAATGTTGTGTGTGAGTCTGTAACTGGTGAGTCGTTTTGGTGAAAGTATTGTGTTTGGAGAGGGATGGTGAGAAGGAGCAAAGGAGGACTTGGGTTTTAGCAAATCTAGAAAGAACAATGAGGATGAGATGGGTCAACGGTCAGTAGTGCGTTCACGGCCATTCACTCAGGTCTCGACAGAGTCCTCGTCGACTTCAGAAGCTGGTACGCGGACTTGATTCAGCTATGGAGAAGATCTCTTGCCGTCCACGATCTTGATGCCATACAGATGAATTCACCTATTGTACCCTTACACCCCTGGATCTCTAATAGCCAACCAGACCCCTTAGAAAAAGAGACCACCCACGAAGAATCGCCAAATCGTGCCCAAGAGGGTGTTGGTGGAGATGAATTCGCTGATCCAGCCGAAGAACCAAACCCCAAGCATGTCTGGGATTCTGCGTCAGTCTCCATAACCTGGATCAAGGCAATGGTTTGTGAAGGTTCATATTCTTACCTGCAAAGGGACCTGAGTCTCCAAAAATCATGGCCAGGCGCTGAAATCCCGCGAGGACACATCCGGCGGGAACGAAGCCGCCGTAACGAGACTGCCACCAAGCGGCGATGAAGCCTGAAGCAATCATCAGCTCATACTTCTCCAATCTTGCAAGCATTCAAGAGGGAAGCTTACCAACGATGAAACGAAGAGGAATGGCAATGAGAATCGAGCCAAAGAGGAAGTTGGATATCCATCCCTGGACCCAGTTGGCAGCAAGTCCATGAATCCGCCGGATCATAGTGCACCGAGAAAGAGTTGCTGGCTTTGTTATGAAAGGAGATTTGTGCTTTTGTTTGCGGTTGTGAGGAGAGAAATTGTGAGGAGGAAAAGGCTGACTGGGTTGGTCTGTTGCTGGGGAGGCAGCCTTTTATCTGGGTGAAGAAACTGCAGTCGAGCTCCTGTACCCCGAAACCAAGGACCACCTTTCTCCTACTCGGGCACCACATCCAACAGCGCGTCAAAATATTTGTTGTACATTTGTCGTTGTCTTTGGCTCTTGCGGTAAAGTTCATAGATATCAACGCAAATTATGTAGTAGAAGAAAGACGGGAATCCAGCTAGTAAGCACATGAAATGCGCATCGGGATGTCGTTCTAATATCTCAGCATATACTTGAAGCGTTAATTATGATGAGATAAACCTACCCGCCTTCAGGCACATAACGAGTAAAGCTGCCCATATCTTTGACCACAGATCCGAGTCGGCGGAGTGTTGGAATGACAGAATGGTCACCACCAATGCGGTCATCCAGTTTTCTAGAGAGAACATACTCAGAGTCTCTTTCTGATCGTGTGATGAGAGAAGGTCGGCTACTGGTGCGGACCTGGCAATGACGGGGAACGATTGATCACTCATCTGCGCTGTTGAATGAGTTTGGGGGAATTTTGATGTTTATAAAAAACGTTGCAGCGTATTCTAAAGGCCACCCTAAGTTTTCAGGATCATCTTGATGTAGTCCCGGGTACTTGCAGCTTTGACTCTCCACTGGCTCTCCTCACACATTTCCATTGGTCAAAGAGAAAGGTGAGGACATACTGCTCTGGTGTCTCTGTTGGCTGGCAAGACAGGAATACAAACGACTTTCTTGTAGCTGTCGGAGACATACATTTCGTCCTTCCTTAACCCCATGCCCGCCCTGACAAAGGATATGGCCACAGTTCCCCCCACCTTGCCATCACACAAATTCCAAAGTCTCGGGAACAGGCAGTCAAACGATGCACCATCCAGCCCATCAACTTGACGTCCGGGACTTATCTCAGAATCAGGCCATGGCTAGTGACTGCAACAAAGCGAAGAGTCCACCGGCGGGGACGAAACCACCATAGAAGACTGATTGAAACCAGGCAGCAAAAGAGCCTGGATTTATATTGTCAGATGGCTTTTGTTGGAGGTTGAAAGACACATTGCGCCCGGCACTCACCACCAATGGGCCCTAGTGCATCGAATCCAATCACGGCGAGGATCGGGCCAAGAAGCCAGAGCATTGTGGTCAGGATGTGAAGAGATTGAGTGAGATTGAGTGAGAGGATATTGACAAACAGTGTGAGCTGATCTTTCTATTGTGCAGAGAAGCTGGATGGGATTCAAATGGAAGTAGGGCGAAGAGCGTATATATGTACTAATACTCGCCTAGGGGGCAAGGCCCATTCCTGGATGCGATCGTAACTGTACTTGTGTGGATGAGCTAAGTGGAAAAAGTCTCCTATGATATCAAACGACATCCAGTGAGCCCAGTCCGATGGTGGGCGCAGGCCGCATGGTAGGCCAACAAAGAATGCAGGTGTGAGGTGCTGGATAGGGAGAGGCCCAATGAGGGGGATCGATGCAGGAGGCCGACAACATCAAGCTTCCACCCCAACCAAACGCACAAGTGGAACTCAATCGAAATGTATGGATACGTCTGTTTGCTCGAGGTGCGTTTCTGGTCGCTAGAACATGTCATGGCATTCTCAGATCACTGGTACCCTGCCATGAGCTCCTCTGACCTGCAGGAGTGTTCACATCTCGCGGCCGTGGAAGCATCACTAGACGCTCTCGATTTCTTATCACTATCACAGAAGGCAAATAGTCCCTCCTTTGCTTTTCAGGCGACGAAGATTCTTGCAATTGAATAGATTCAGGCACTTCTACACATATCCTTTGCCTTGCAAATGAATCATCCCTACGGAATAGCCATGATAACGCGACTGTGAAATAGGTCGCGACGGGACCTGCCAAGGTTTGAATAAATAGAGCAAACAAAGAAGCCTGCTCGCACATATTAGAACGGGTGAGGCGATTCTTCTTAACTCGAGATCTGACACCTACCACAAAGCCGGAAAATGCGAATGCCAGAGTGACCCCGGCAAATATGGCCTCGAGAACAGCTAGGAATCGAATCATGATGGTAGAAAGGGCGACGTATATCTAGTTTACAAAATCAATTGGAATTGGTTCACAGGGCTTCGGCACAAGTTGTCTGCCATCTGGGGATGGAAGGATATGTAGGTCATAGGGCTGCTGTATGCAAAAACTTGTCGTAGCCGTCTCGGTGACCAAGCCTGAGAGTTTTTTCACGTGTGACGTGTAACCTCACACTTCACAGGGTCGAGACTGGCCCACAACACCTTGGAAGCATGTAGTCGGAGGCCTGCCGACAAACTCTCAACATCTCGGACCGCGAGATAAGTCCAAGGACGTCGCTGAGTATTATATACCAAGCTTTAGTCTGATTTTCTGAGTGACTCTAGACATCTCTCAGCAGAGTCTGAATACCTTCCACAGATCCTCCCTCCCGGCCGTCACAGTCTGGCTTTCACCTGCATTATCTTCCACGCTGAAGCCAGAAGTCAACTCCAGGTCATGCCGAGGCGCTGAAGGAAGGAGAACAAGGATCCCTTGGGAACGTAGCCTGCATATCGCGCTTGCCACCAGGAGGCAAAGGTGTCTACCAGAAGTCAGCTTCATTTCCTACCAGGCTTGAACACGCGATCTTACCGGCTATCGGACCCAGTTCGCCAAAACCCAATGCCTCAATCACCCAAGGGGCGACGATGACCAATATGCCAATGGCAATGATGGTGACGAGGACAGGGTGCTCCTCCACAAAGCCGAAGACCTGCTGCGCCAAGTCGGTCGACTTGTCCATCGCTTCCTTCACAACCTGGCCGAAGGTATCGCGATGGCGCACAAGGCCTTCGACGCCGCTAAGGATGAACTTGGCGAGACTCTCGGTCCAAGAGTTCGTCGTCACGATGTTTCGGAGCCGTCGCTCGAGGTCCTTGCCTCCCTTCTCGGCTGCGCGAAGGACATCGATGAATTCGGATGCGGCCTCCTCGCTTGATCTTATTATCGGTTGCTTCGAGACGACTCCGGACGCCTTCTGACCGATAGTAGGCTCCGCATCTTTAGCGATCAGAGCTCGACCGAGGAAGCACTCAAGAAAGTTGTTGCAGTCCATCTTGTGTCAATACGATGCAGGTATCTTCTTCAGTTGTGAGAATTGTGGTTGCGATGCTCAGTGAAATCTGGAATGTAAATCGAAAAGGTATGTCAGTGTTAAGCACAGCAGAACATGAGGGCAAGCCGAGCTTTAGATGCCTTTCTGGAAGGATGGACAGCCATGTTGATCTCGTCGGCCTCCGGCATGAAATCTGCCTTGTTGGACCAGTGGCCGTTGCTGCTCTGCCTGCCTGTCTCATCATCTGCAGTCCTTGTTGGCCCAAAATGTGACCGCCAACCATCAGCAACCAACCCAAAGCCTCAATTCGCTGGCCGGACGATCAGTGTCCCAACCAACACAATACCATCTCGGTCCCTCTTTGCACGTTAGATAACGCATGCCCCAACAAAGATACTTCAAATAGCCGCCTGAAAAGCTGCTGCTGCCTTAATGCACAGCCCATATTGGCCAGGCCGGTCGGGCGCACCAGCCAGCCATTCGCAAATATGCCAAAAGCCAGCTCAGAGGCCATCACAACATCATAGAATGTTAATGAAGGCAAAAAGCAAAAGTAATGGGCCCTAACCAGGGATCGAACCTGGGACCTCTCCCAGATTGAATCGTCAAGTGACAACCCTAAGGGAGAATCATACCGCTAGACCATCAGGGCTGGTATCTGAAGCTTGCTGCTTGATGATGGTTGTGGCGAATTTGTCATATAAGACTGACTCCCCGTGTTGTGGGCGTTAGCCGACGATACGCGACCCACACGGGACAGTGCCCACTCCACCAAGCCCACTCACCAAATTCTTCAGGACCGCACAACTTTAATGTCATTGATCTCCAGCTGATCTGACGCGCAATGTTTTGCTGCGCTGTAGTGCGATGTAACAATGTTTGCTTGTTACAGACGTCCATCTAAGAGACGGTGTAACTTAACCATCTGCATCTTGATACACCCCAGAAGCCGCAATACGAGCTCCGGTTAGAACGGCCATGGTGGAGACGACTCCCATCCGCAACGTCGGCGGTATTCTCTAGCAGCTGCCATCATGATCTGAATCCTTCAAGAATATGTGGACTGAAACACACACACGACTTCAATGAATCTTCATGGTCAGAGACAGAAATGGAACTTCCTTCCCAATTCCGTGACACTCGCCGCAGCGGAAGCTGTTGATACTTACACAATCACAGCGAGCTTTGAGTCATTCCACGATGGAACCGGAAGCTGTTGTACACAATTTCGTACTTTTTGAAAATGAATGACAAACGTTTGTAAAGTCTTGCTCAAGCTCGCCAAACTGCTCCGCCTAGGAAACGGACATCACCTCCGTTAGCTCCGCTACGGCTCGATCAATGCGGGTAGGAAGCATCCGCTGATCCACCTGGTACCGAGCATGGTGGAGAACAGCCTACCTGCTCCCCTGAACAAATCAACGAATATTTGAACATAGTCCAAGGGAAGCTTCCTTCTCAGATGCGAGGGTCCTCTCAGTAAGAAAACTCAGTCTCAAATCGCAGCAAATTCAAAGTTATTTGGTTTCTTTTCAGTCTTCATTTGGCACATGAGCCAAGACCCAGGAACACACATAGTGCCAACTAACTTCACCACGGGTGGTTCACAATCGGACGTGGCTCCGGGCCGCCATCCACCGGGACCCTCACCGTCCAGCGGGCCGAGAGTAGTTCTGCGTATGCCCACTCCAGGGATACCTTTGCCTTCTCTAGATTGAGATGTCCTGAGCTTTACAAGTGACTAGTCGTGGGATCCCCATGGCTCTAGACACCTACATTAGCCATCCCTGTCAACTTATTCCCCATGAGGCGACGGATTCGATATCCTATCTACATGATGCTGGGCTCCTTTTGCCTTTCGACAACTCCAGTCACATATCTTCTATCTCAGCACCTTATCGTATTTGAGCAGCAGCCGACACGACCGGAAGAAAGCTCCATGTCGTGTTCAGTGGGTTGGAATCCTTCAAAACCGGGGTCAAAACTCTAAGCACCCTGGCATCTATTGGTATACCTCGAAGGATGTGGCTTCATTTCGATCCTTCGTAAGCATCTAGATGGTCGAGAGACGTATTGTATCTTCACCTGAATCCACTGAAACTCGTGAAGGCCTGGAAATGACCCTATTCGAGTGGATCACCGCATCTGCTTTTGACACGGGGAAACAGCAGCAAAATCACCGCAGTCAGGGCGAAGCTGGGGCTGCCATAGCTTTCGAATGTCACTTTCAGCTTCGTAGAGTTGTTTTGAGCTAAGTTCTGAAATCATTTGCATCGCATATAAGAGACTCTTCATCCCCCCCAACTCAACTCTTTTCATCACAACCCTACATCACCCAACTCAACCTTTACTTCTCAAGATTCTACCCCTTGAACTCAGCCAACATGCGCGTCTCTTCGTTCCTCGCTCTCGTTTCCGCGACTTTCGGCGCCGCTGCTCCCAGCCCCGCTCCCTCCGGCGATGCTGAGTCTTATGTCCTCGCCGGCCCCCTCCCCTACGAGGAGCTCAAGGCCGAGGTCGCCAAGCTCAAGTCCGACGGCGAGTCCAACGTCGCCCGTAGCTTGAACAAGCGTATTTGCGAGGGCGTATACATGTGTGACCTCGACAACTTCGGCGGCGAATGTTACTATGGCTGCTACCCCATCAGCGTCGCTATATACCCGGACTCTTATTGGGTTTCCCGTATTAGTTCGGTTGGACCCGATTCGGGTGGCTGGACTTGAAAGCCAGGAAGTCAGAAATGCTTGCTTACCTTCCTAGCATACCTAAGCAGGCAGGGTCCTTAAGGGACCTTAAGTACAGGGAAATACAGGCCCTTCCAGGGCCTTCTTGTCAGGACGTCTCCTGCAGCCTAATGCAGCCTTCCGTGCCTCACATGCCTGGAAGGTCTTAGAGGCCTCAGGAGCCCAGGCTTCCAACAGCTGGTGCGATTTCTATGGGTATGTTTATTGCTATATCTCTATATAAAAGCCCCTATTTGGTTGTATATGTTCTGATATCTCATGGTGGGATAGCGGCAACGCCTGTGAGCCAACTCGCTTTTCCCACCAGATCTTCAGAAACCCCGGCGGCAACTTGGCCGCTGGCATCAGCAACAACATGGGATGCTTCTACTGCAATCCTAACTAAATGATGGACGTGGAAAGGACTGGGCCGGAAGCTCATATTCTCGGGTCTTGTTGTGTCATGACTTCTGAGACTTCATGTTTACTGTACATATTGCATCACTTACGGAAACAACCATCTCCGATATACTGTGCCCAGCAGTGATTGAGTTTGTGAATTGGCCATTTTTAGTTTGCGGACCAGCGTTCATTTTATCTTGCAGAGCCCAAGGTTGCTGAAAACAGTTACTCCACAGGATAAAAAAAATGTCGAATAATCAGCAGGTTCATAAACGCTTATTCAAAGTTCATCGGTGCCAAGTGAGTTGCTAGCGGGTTACAGCGCTGACTCTCTCTCCTTGATCCCTGTGTGCAGCAGCCAATGGCGTCCACATCTCCTTCCAGAAGAAGAAATCGGTTTCTGCGGCGCACCCCTCGTACTACGTCAAACTTCGGATAACTTTGGGACTTTCGTGAAGTTATTCAGATCTCGAATTACACAAGCGATCCTAGGGCTTGGGCGGCGAACATGGGGGGTTCTATGGTCCGGCAAAGGCCTGGCAGTTGCTGTCTCCGAACCCTGTCCGTGCCGCGTATCATCCGCCCAGAGAGCCTGCTGCGAACGTGGCAATATGAGCCCTGCAGAACACACACTAAAGATGTGCCGTGAAGGTGTATTCCTCTGCAACCCCTATCTGCTGAGGTCCTCATTCGCACGTCAGGTTCGCAGCTCCACCCCAATTCTTCACGGTGAGGGCGCGCATGCATGTTGGGTGCGCGCAGGGTACCATTGGGCCGAGAGCAGGGGTCTTACTTGGACCGCTGCATGGTCTGATCGAAAAGCCGTCACAAAAGCCGTGATTGCCCCGCGTCCTTATTCTGACAGGTTTCCGGGAACCGGGTTTCTTCTTCTTTCTCTTCGTCATCTCCGTCATTTTCATCGTCAAGCGTCAGTCGAATTGGCCAGCGTGCGCAAGCTCTGAGCGATGTCTGCAGCACCACCCAGCAACCCAGGTTCGCCTGACTCGCCAAACCGCGAACCTGTAGCAGCAGACGCTGGCGTCCAGCCTGAAGTCCAGCCTGAGAACAACCCTGAAAATGTGCTCACCGCCGATGACACCGAGGAGGAAGAGGGCCAGTCGGTAGACGGAAGAGTACGCTTCACCTCGAATCTTTGGGAGTCGCACGTCCTAAGCTTCTTGGCGCCGAAGACGACATTCGCCCAGTTCACTAACAAATAGTCTTGTAGAGTCTCGCTCCATCAACCGAGAGTCTCCGCCCATCCTTGTTCGACTACCGCCAGGAAAATGGCAGGACCTACCATCGGTACAAAGATGGAAGTACGTTTGAATGGAACCAGCCGACATAGCTTGCACTGACACGGGTCTTAGAATACATTTTCCCCAACGATGAGCGGGAGAGCGACAGATTGGGTGAGATGACTGAAAAGAAGACCTTTCGGTGTTGTGCTAATGTAGAGATCAGATATGGAGTTTCAAATCTGGATGATTTCGCTTGACGACAGGCTTGGAGTTGCTCCACCTTGCCTGGGAAGCTCCAAACCCACTCGAGTTCTTGATATCGGAACTGGCACGGGTATCTGGGCCATGCACTTTGGAGACGAGCATCCTGAGGCCGAGGTACGTTGAATTCCAGCTCCATACGTGGTGTATACTAACCGGCGTCTCAGGTCATTGGTACCGATCTGTCCCCAATTCAACCGGGCTTGTACGTGCTGTGCCGGAGCCGCTCCCATTCCTGAATAGAGAGCTGACGATACCCAGTGTACCTCCAAACGTCAAGTTCGAGATCGACGACCTCGAAGATGAATGGACTTATTCTCTGCCGTTTGACTACATCCACAGCCGAGTCATGACATCGAGCATCGGAGATTGGTCGGTGTATCTGCGTAAATGCTATGAGTGAGTCTCGTGCCACCTAAACTCCAGGTCTACGCATATGATTAACCAAAGATGGAAAGAAACCTGAAGCCTGGTGGTTACGTCGAGCTGCAAGAGATTGACCTCTTCGCCACATCCGACGACGGAACCCTCAAGCCAGAGAGCGCCTTGATGAGATGGTGTAACCTGCTCATGGAGGCGTCGGAGAAGTTCGGCCGCCCCTTCGTCCGAGGCCCTACGCTCAAGGACATCATGTCAGCCGCGGGCTTCGTTGATGTCAGCATCACGGTGCTGAAGTGGCCTACCAACTCTTGGCCAAAGGACCCCAAGTACAAGGAGATCGGCATCTGGGAGAATGCGAACATGTTGGAAGGGCTGGAGGGATTCTCAATGGCGGCGTTGACCCGTGGCCATAACTGGAGCAGGATCGAGGTTGAAGTCTTCCTTGCAGAAGTACGCAAAGACTTTAACGACAAGAGTATCCATGCGTACTGGCCCGCGTAAGTCTCACCTACTTTACCTTTTGAGAGGGTATTGAGTCTAATGATTTCAGGTACTGCATTGTTGGCCGCAAGCCCGAAACTGTTTGAGAAGTCCGCTATAGCGCTGGGTTATGATTCCGTGAAAAGAGAAAACGCTGGTGTTTATTTCTATACCATTCAGTATCAAGCTCGTTGCAGATTACTTATCGCAGAGCATCACAAGATAGTTCGTCGTGTCTTGCTTCAACCATCGCTCCAATTATCACTTTAAAATAGACCGCCAGCCCTCAAACATTGTTGAAACCCAATAGAGCAAGCTCACTGAGATGCAGACAAATCCTTCAAGACCTTCCTTCCCCTCAACACATCGACCTCATGAGAAGGTTCCCTCGCCGTCTCCGCGATACCCTCCTCGATCCACTGCTTGACCGCCGGATGCTCCAACAACCTCTCCACATACGCCTCGGCCTCGGGATCCTTCAGCGGAAGCCCAAACGTCTGGATCCTCGTCGCGACGGGCGCGAAGAAGGCATCGGCCGCAGAGAACTCCTTACCCGCCACCCACGGGCCGCCAAACTTCTTCAGACCCCCCGTCCACACCTCCTCCAGACGGTCGAGGTTGCGCTGCACGTCGGCATCGGGCGGGCCGCTCTCGATGCGCAGGGCAACGTTCATGGAGTACTGGTCGCGCAGGGCCTCGTAGCCGGTGTGCATCTCCGCAGCGGCGCTGCGCGCGTATGCGCGGGCGGCCTTGGACTCTTGCGGCCAGACGCCGGGGTGGGATTCGGCGACGTACTCGGCGATTGCGAGGGAGTCCCAGACGGTGATGTCGCCATCGACGAGGGTGGGCACCTTGCCGGAAGGGGAGAAGGAGAGGAAGGCTGGTTGGCGGTAGCCGGGGCTGAACAATTGCAGGCGCTCTTCAAAGGGGATGTCGAGGGCCTTGAGGAGGACCCAGGGTCTCATGGACCAGCTGGAATAGCGCTTGTTGGCGATGTAGAGTTCGAGAACCATTTTGTTGATTTATGTTCAATTGAATGCAAGTGGGAGGATTACTGTAGGTGAAAGTGATGATGATGTTACTGAAGAGTCTAGAACGGGTCAACCATGAGGTTCATATATGCAGCCCGCGCTTGCGAATTGACTCATCGACGATGTCTCGTTTGCGACCGTTACGCCCTACCGTTGTGAGTTTCATGCGAGCGGGTCTTCCCGACATAGGCAGGCATGAACACTAGTTGACGAGGATGACCAATCCAGCCTCAATCTGATCGTATTTGGGATGGCTGCAGCATCAGCTGAAAGTTGCACTCATAGATGAGGGCCATCCCCGCACACCGACTTCCATGGCACGCGGGAAGATGTGGGGAGCGGGTTATCGCAAAGAGGTCATGTCATTGAAGGGCGCTGCGCTAGAAACATCAAATGGGGCTTCTGTGCTTCAGCGCCAAGAGCCTAAGATGCAGTGACGGAAAATGGGCCAGAAACGACCAAGCTTCGCTAATGGGCCAGCATCCACAGCGTACAAGCCGAGGCGACGAGCCAGTCCGGCCCATTCATGCGTTCGCGAAGGCTATCATCGGACTGTTTAATTCCCTTGGGCCGGCGTCAAGGCCCGAGTGGATGTCGACGTGGCCGATATAACATGGTGCTGCGAGCTTCGTTGAAGAAAAGATGACGGATAATGAAGGTGGGATATAACACCGAAGTTAGGCGATGAAGAACACGCCAGCAATTGAGGTTGAGGCTTGAATAAAAGTGATGGATAGGTGACATCTGACAGTGTGATTGCCTTCGACGGCTGCTCTTGACTCTGGTGTGAATCATCGAGGCGATTCAGACGGCACCAGGTCAATTCATAAAATAATGCTCATGATTCTGAAGGCTAGAACATAAGAAAGATGCGGCATTGAAGCCCTTATGGGCAGGTGTGTCATTTTCCCTGTGGGGAAGAAGTATGTCTGTACATCTGTAAAGGAGGATCAGGCATGAATCCCACGCGGTACGACTGGCCATTGAAATGCAAAGATTTCCTCACAATATACAAGTGTCTAATAATTCACTCAGGAGCACAGCGTAGATTCAGAAACAGAAATGAAAGACCACTTACAGCAAGAAGCGTTGTAATTGAGGCGAATCAATGTTGAGACAATGATAGACCCCCAGGAAATGCTTATTACATAAGCACTCCCGCCGCCAATTGGACCCCTCGCAACGGTCAGCGCCAACCTAAACTTTTGGACCTGCCCGAGCTTTTGTAGATCAGCTTAAACAATTCCAGTGGCCTCACCCAACTTTTTTTTTCCCTTCTCTTCCAATTCCCACCTCCTTCACCAAACCCGGCGCAACGAGTATGCTCGCGGCACCATGGGTCTGCCGCCGGTGTCTGGGCTCGTTCCTGAAACCCAGGACGACCCAATTCATCCGCCGTGCTAGCACAGGCAAGCTCCCGTCCCTCCAGTGCCCCTCCATCACCAAACTAACACACCCCTCCAGAAACCCAGACAGCCCTCCCCCCAGCCCTCCTCCAACGCGCGCGCACTCTCGCAAAAGAACATGCCGACCTCTCCGCGACCCTCGAGACTGACTACGACTCCAAGACCGCCCGCCGCATCGGCGAGCTCTCGAGCGTCGTCACCGCCCTGCGCGAATGGGAAACCGCCCAGGCCTCCATCGCCGAGCTCACCGGCATGCTCTCCTCCAAGGACAGCGAGCTCCGCGACATGGCCCGCGACGAGCTCACCAGCACCACCGGCCACCTCGCCGCGCTCTCGCGCAAGCTCTCCGCCTCCCTCACGCCCCGCGACTCCTTCGCCCACATGCCCTGCCTGCTGGAAATGCGGCCGGGCCCCGGCGGCCTCGAGGGCCGCTTCTTCGCCGACACGCTCTTCAAGATGTACCGCCAGTTCTGCGCGCGCAAGGGCTACCGCGTGCAGGTGATCAAGTACGAAATGGCCGAGGCGGCGGGCGACACCTCCAGCGCGGCGGGCGAGCAGCCCCTGCAGGAGGCCATCATCGAGGTGCAGGACGCCGGCGCGTACGACGTCTTCCGCGGCGAGGCCGGCATGCACCGCGTGCAGCGCGTCCCGGCGACCGAGAGCAAGGGCCGCACGCACACGAGCGCCGTCGCCGTCTGGGTGCTGCCCTCCTTCCCGGAGAACGGCAGCGCGGAGGAGGACTTCAACAACCCGGAGTCCGACTTCTACATCGACCCGCAAGAAGTCAAGATCGAGACGATGCGCGCGCGCGGCGCGGGCGGGCAGCACGTGAACAAGACGGAGTCGGCGATCCGGATGACGCATCTGCCGAGCGGGACGGTGGTGAGCATGCAGGACTCGCGGTCGCAGCAGCGCAACCGCGAGGACGCGTGGAAGCTGCTGCGGTCGCGGGTGGCGCTGCAGCGGCGCGAGGCGCGCGAGGAGGCGGCGGCGCAGCTGCGCAACTCTGTGCTGGCGAAGAACAGGATCACGAGGGGCGACAAGATCCGGACGTACAACTACCAGCAGGACCGGGTGACGGACCACCGCGCGGGCATTGACGTGCACGATCTGCCGGACGTTGTAGCCGGCGGGGAGATGCTGGATAAGGTGTTTGATAGCGTGAAAGAGTGGATGGTGTCGCAGGACATTGAGGCCATGATGGCGGAGGAGGAGGCTGCCGCTTTGGTGGCGGAGAAGAAGGCGCAGAAGTGATCCATGCGCTTGTTGTATAGGCTTGTATTATATTGTAGACGATCTAGACATGACCCCTAAAAGCGCAGATTACTGAGAATATTCAAACACGAATTCACGAATCGCCAATCTTGTTGGCTCTGGTCGCTCGCAGCGGAGTGACTTCACAAGCCTCAGTCGCGGGGCAGACAACCATGGGACATCCCAGCGGCAAATTTCTCTGCTGCGTTGTCACCCGCACAAAATTCATCCAAACCCCAAACGTGCTTTTCTGCAGATCGCCAAGGCCTGGGACAGTATGCTTAAAGGGGCCATGGCTGTGCGGCTGCGACGGCGAAACATGCCTGATTGCCGTCTCGTCAGGGTCCGGAGATGTCAAGTCTGGAAATCGGTCGTGTCTGTCGCAGACCCCACAAGTTAGCATGCCGTGTCGGACAGCCGATGGAGGTCGTCTAAGAAAGCGTTTGATGCGATTTCACCGTGAGCATGAGACATGGCGCTATCCAGGTTACACCAAAATTGCGATGAGACCACCGTCGAACGATGCTTGGACCATTTTGTGAATATTGAAAATTTTACATTTTTTGACTACATCAGTGTCAGATACAAGAGAGGGGATGTCATACAGCGTTCGGCATGACAGAGGAGCCCAAAATTTTTGTTGTTGTCCGTCGTGATCCTTTTTTGCCTGAGAGATCCTCTCTCCATCCGCCAAATCAGCCATGAAGACGCCGCGCTATGGTCATAGAATAATGTACAACAAGGGGGGAAGGTACAGGAACGAGGAGCGGACTCGCGGACTGTCCAGCCGTGAAAAACGAAGGCTTCATCCATGGTGTACAATGTGTGCTCTCTCCCGCAGTCCGGGTCACACGCTCCAAGTCCGTCAGATGAGAATCCTCAAGCCAATTGGCGTTCTCGTCTCATCATCTCCAGCACGCCGACGACGCCGTTCTTCCTAAGCCTCTCAAGAACAACGCGCATGCCCTCACGGCTCTTGCCCATCTGGTCCTGTGTCTTGCTTGAAGCCAGGTTCTCGATGCTGCGCTGGATGCCCCGCGCACCGATGCCACTCATCCAGCCAGGCATCCAACGGCCCTCCTTCTGCTCCGGTTGCTCCGGGATGGCGTTGGCCTGGGGCATGTCCTTCTTACCCCCACGTAGCCTCTCGCCGAGACGAGATCTGTAGATAACAGTGGTCGTAACGTCGGTCGCGGCATCAGCAGAGGCATCCGCCGGAAGGCGGAAGTCCTGCTTCTCAATGACGGAAAGGACGTTCATGAAGTTGAGGTTGCGGCTCTCCGTGCGCATCCAGCCCTCGCGGACGTCAACGACAGACGTCTCGAGGACGTAGCTCGCCTTTTCAGCAGAGCCGCCGCCGGTGATGGAAGCCGGGAGGAGCTTGAAGACGGGCGCGGGCATGCGCGACTTCTTCAGGTGGATGCGTGTCGTGTGCAGCCTGCCCGTAGCCGGGTCGAGGCGGCTGTCGATGGTATCGGTGCTGAGAACATGGGTGGAGAAGGGATTGAGCTTGGGAGAGGAATATCGGAGGAAGTAGGCGAGCGTGACGGTCGGGAAGGGGTGGGAGTAGGTGTGGTTCGTCGAGTGGGTGAGGACCATCTTGTATGCGGCGGGTATTCGGGGTACGGGCTTTTGCGTTGTTGGTGTCGATATGCAGGTTCGTACTTGGATTGAAGTCTTGTATCTTTTTGCGTGCGAGAAAGCGCTCACGTTTGTCGGGACGCAAGGGGCGTTGACATCGAGGGCCTTGCGCGGGCGACCCAATGCAAATTTTGGAGGTGTCTCGAGAGTGCTAAAAATGAAGCTATATCCGCCGCGGAAGCTCGGCCACCGAGTCGTCGGTATTTGTCGGTTTCGGTGTTTGCTCGATGCAAGTTGCGCTCGCAGGTGAGGGGCGGGGAACAAGACTGAAGAGAAGAAAGTGAGTGCAAAAGGTGACGGCCACACTCGACGAGATGAGGGGGTGGGAGGGTGTTAATGATGAGGAGAAGGCGGAAGATGAGGAGGTGGGCGGAGGGGAGGAGTGCGGCGCTGGAATGATGTAGAGTGCAACGACACCCGTGCGTACATCGAACGATAGGTCGATTGATTTTGGGGAAGAAGCTTCCGTGCCGTGCCTGCGACTTTCTTTTTGGTCAGCGCCTGCCCGCCAATTGGCGCAGGGACCCCAACTCCAGCGAGCAGCCCAGGGCGGCCACAGACGGTCCAGAGTGTCGCCGGCATTTTCCAGCCAGTGGGAACAGGCGGCAATTGGCTTTGTCCGCAGCGACGGCACCATCCCATTGGCTTGACGATCCCACTGCGCCCGCTTTTCGTCACACGAGCTTGGGCCTTCTGGGTGGCGAAAATCACATGATGCGGAGTACACCGACGCTCACCGAGAGCTGTGGTGAGCTGTCACTGTTGCTTTTGAGCCTCACCTTCGCCCCACCTTGAAACAACACCTCATTCCCAGCGTCCCATGCCTCTCGCGATGTGTGGTCTGTTTGAGTTTCTGGATGAAACACTCCGCGGCAACGGCGGCTGCTTCGTGAGCTGCTTGCCAATCGAGAGAGATTGCCTGCAAACCCCGGACTGTCTGTTCTTCTGGTGACAAAGGGGCACGGCTGCTGCCGGGGTAAGTGCTGCAGCTTTCCCCAACCCTCGAATCCCGAGTCCTGATTGGCTCGCGCTCGGCGTTCAGCGCAGCGATGAAGTTTCGATGAAGCTAAGCCTTCCAACTAACTTCAATCAACATGACTAAGGTAACGCGGGGAAGGAAGAATCCAAAATGCCTGAATCGATCCCCTACCTTGGCGGTGGATCACGATGTAGTTCAACATCATCATCACTCAGTGAACGATGGAGAATTTGCTCGGCCATGATGCCGACATATGTCTAATCTCGATGTGGCTTTTCACACAAATATTCTGCCAGCCCATTGACCTATAGCGAGATCGGCCAACAAGGCTTTTCTACTATGATTCTGTGATTATCATCCTGGAGAGGTTACGAAGTCACACCTATTTGCGCAAGACACACGTGAAGCCTCAAGCGAACGATATTTACTCGAACGAAGATGCAGCTGAATCGTAGTCTCTCCCTCAGGAGTGAGTGGGCCAAAACTCTTCAACTAAATTGGAATGGATCGATGACCTCGAACTGGTGGTCAGCATGGCTTGGACTACCTCCACGAGATCAGGGCTTGGGAAACCTCTTCGCCCGCTGCCATGATGCTACTTCTGCAACTCGCAAAACAGAAACTTACCCTAACCTGAGAAGGTCTGATTCATGAGTCGTAGAGCATCTGCCATGTGCCAGCTCCGGGATCGCAACGCTTCCTTCTGCTACATGCTGACATGACCCCCGGCCGAGCACTACGATTCCCAGCTTCTTCAGCTAGAGTCTCACACAGGCTACTGCAGCCCATGTGAACGTCAACCGATGTACACAGTTTTAAACCAAATGAAGACTTTAACTTGAGAAAACCGAAATACTTCCAGGTTGAAAAATCGTTATTCGACACCCTTTCCAACATAAATTTTGACTTAAATTCCAGTAACGCGCCTGCCTGAACTATAGAACATCCAGAGACATCATCGGCCAAGTCATCTTCGACTCGTCGACCTCACAGACTCCGACCCCAGCTCAACAGGATGTCCCTCTCCGGGCATCTCGGCCGGAGGATAATAACTCGGAGCCTCCACCACTGTCGGGTACCCCCCTTCCTGGCTCACAGCAACGTAATTCTGCGTCAAGTCCGCCGCATCTCCACGGGCTCTCGCGTTACTCTTCCTCCTCTTGTGCCAAATGAACCAAGCCGCGAGGGCAAGAACCACCGCTCCGACAGCTCCACCAACCGCGCCGCCAATGATACCAGCTTGATTATTCGAGGGCGCTGAACCGCTGGCGCCAGCTGAGGACGCAGTAGGCATTAAGGAAGATGTCGTAACAACCTGCCCATCCTCAATCCTGACACCCTTGCCTTCTTCACAGCAGTCGTTGACCCTCTGGTTGTCATTGCCGCAACAGTAACTCTTATCGGCGCATTCAGTCACCACGATATCTGTACCCGTCGCGCCAATGCCATCGCTTTCTGCAAGACAAGTCGTTAGCACGTCCAACCCAATCGGCACATAATTATACCCATGACAAGCACCGACGCTGGGTAACAAATAGAAAACCGAGAAAGCTCACGATAATCATCCGAGATACACAGCTTCAGACACTTGGGCGACTGCCACGTCGGGTCCGTACAACTCTCTCGCCAGAACTTCTTGTCCACATTATTCCAACAAAGGCCGTTAGCCTCGCATCTGTCCCCGTTTTTGATGTTGCAGCACATGGCGTGACCGCTGCTCACGCAAGGTTCGTAAGTGTCGAGATGGAAATCTTTAATGTCATTTCTATTGGTGCCGTTGGGAACGAAACACGTTCCCTGGACGGCGGTGATGCTTGCCGCCACGGCAGCTAGAAAGATGAGCGGAGCGCGACGCATTGTCGGTTGTCGACTTGAGGAGTCGCTCCGTAGGATGAGGAGTGAAACTCAGGGAAGGTTCGGAGGAAAAGTCAGGCTGTGGTAGAAGTTCTGCGTGAGACGCCAGTCACACCGTTAGACGCCGTGGCGGAATCTAGCTGAACCACGCGTTGCGGCTGTGGAGAGAATATCTGCACTTTCGTGCACCTAAGGATTTTACCCTTTCCAATAGTTGGGAAGGGTCTGCACATCAGACAGAAGAGTTGCAAACACCCCAAATTAGCGTCAGTCAGAATCTCACCCCATCGCGCGGGCTGAGATGTGTCGTTCACGATCATCATTGGCTTGTTTGGATAGAACGTCGTCGAATCTGCCCTGGCGCAGTCAGCATCAGCGTCAAGTAGGTCTGCCAACAGCCTGTGATCCAGCCCAATGGTTTTCATAGGCCTTCCGTCAGGCTGTCGTTGAAAGAATCACATTCGCTGTTCGTTAAAATATTTCTTACACAATCGGGTACGCTACCCACGCAGTTACAAACGTGGTCATGCCTGCGAATGGGACCCTGCAACGTGACGTACTGTATTAAACATACCTACGGCCCGCCGTTTCCCATGTAAAGCATCGCGCTGGATACCGGCAGTGTAGCAACTCCATTGAAAGCCCACCGTCTAAGCTGACCCGGCAGTCTTTTTGAACATAAATTAGCACCTGAGATTAAAATCGTTATGATTCCGGCGCCACTGACTGAGACATCCCGAGGATCGGCCCGCTCTCGTTCCCCTCCCGAACGAAGACGCCTTCGCTTTCGACCTTCCATCCCTGCACGCCGCTGAACTGGACGAACTGCACGGCCATCTCCCACGCTTCCCGGTCCGCCGCGTCGCCGCTCTCGAACGTCTTGAGCTCGAGCCAGGGACTATCTGGGTCGGGGTCGAAGAGCTCCCGGAAGAGCATGGAGTATGATGTGTTCCGCTCCATCCAAAGGTCGGCGATGTCGATGTTGCGCATCTCGTCGGCGTCTTGAAGGATGTCGTTTCTAGGTACGAGCTGGACAAAGAGTCGGTCGAGGCGGGGGACGTGTTGGACGAGGGTGTTGAAGTGACTGGATAGGGGAAAGATGCCAACGTAGGAGAAGTCACGGATGGATGGTGCGATCAAGGGCTCATCGTTCGGAAACTCCTCCGCCCCAAGAAGAGCACCAAGCATTGAAGGTGGGCGCTTGAGATAGTATTCGTACGTCTTGTAGACTCGTGTCGAGGAGCCCTCGTTGAGAAGCAGACTTTGCCAAGGACGGATGGTGAACAAGTCGCATGGGACTCGTTTTTGGTGCGGGTTCTCGGGGGACGGTGCGTTCTTCGAGGAGGACGCAGTCGCTTTTGACTTGTACTTGCTCGTGACCACCTTCTTGCTCTTCCGCGAAAGAGACAGGATATGCTGCGGCATGTCAAAGTTCCAAGCATCCCCCAAGAAGAGCATGCGCGAGAGCAATTGCGCCAGAACTCGTGGCGACGCGATTATGCTCAGCCGTACAGGATCTACGTGCTCGAACAGCGTCCTCCACAACCAGTTGTAATCCTCGCTATACGACGCCTTGTTCGCGTGACCAGTCTCCATGAGCTCGACGCTGCTGGCGAGATGCGATGTTGCGACACCGCCTAACGCATCCTCGACGAACATGGTCACGGTGGTGACATAGTTCGTCAGGTTGTTGTCTCGAAGGAAGCGGAGGAAATCGATTGTCGCGGCCGGGTCGCGCGTCTCTTCTATGAGCGGCAGTTCGAAGCGGTCGATTGTCCAGACGACATGGCGAAAGAGCAGAGGTAGCACAGCAGCCCTCCACAGCTTGGTAATGACGGACACGTTCTTGAGATCCCTATCGAAAAAGGGGTTTTGGAGCATCAGCGAGCTTGGCTGGTCGTGGAGCTTCGAATCTGAGGGCGCAGGGCGATCGAGGTAGGTGAAGATTTGGGCCAAGATCTCGTTCGGGAGATCGTCGATAGTGACGGCCATGGTCGGCTACTATTTCGCTGGTGATTTCTGCCGAGATGTGATTAGATGCAAGCTGAGTACAATTTGATGAAGTTGCGTGGTTGAGGTTCTGCAATGCAGATCGCGGAACTCTGTTTCACGGGAAGGTTTCGGCTGGGGCGAGTTTCAAGATCAGACGGAGCGATTGAGGCGGTTCAAACAACGGTTCGGATTAGACTGGTCAACTGATTTGAGATGAATCAGATATTCTGTTGAGATAATTGAAGCTCTTTGCAAGCCGACGCGCTTCTCTCGGGACTTCGAGTCGACAATGCTCAGAGGAGGAAGACTGGGAAAATGCGGCATGTCATCGCGGGGTTTCGGTCCAACCACAGGAACCCCTAATCGCCACAGGCCCCCACTGTAGCTTCCCGATAAGGCCGATAACGATAAGAGCTCCGGAGCTCACTTCCGGCCTTCGTCTCTGCTTCTTGACAGCTCATGAAGCTTCAACTTGTAAGTTGCCGTAAACAACCATCTCTTGGCTGGGATAAAACCAAAGTCCCAAAATTGATCGAACGGTCAAATTCAGTCAGCAATTACACAATCTTGGCTTCCTTCAGCCGACGCAACCCTCGTGCAGTACTTGCTTATTCCACAAGCAGTAACTGCATCATTCTCCACCTCGGTGCCGCTGCGGCGCATGCAGTGCTCCCTTCCGAAAAGAAACATCTTAAACTCCAACCCTTGCCAGCAACACCAACAGACCGCTAGGCAAGAATTGCCCATATTGACGACGACAGGATCGTGATTAAGCGGCCGCTACCGGACTTTGCCATTTGCCGTCTCCAAGAGCACTGGCCCCCTCGTCAGCTATGACAAAGGGCGGGGAAAGCGGGGGTTAAGGTGGGCGCGAAGCTTGGGAATGTGTGGTGAAGATGGAACGGCATGACATCGTTGAGACGAGGGGTGGCGGCTGAAGGGCGGGAGGTATGGCGGGTTTTGCCCGCATGCTTCTAAAATCCCCGGTCAAATGGTCCCATCCATATGAGATAGCTTTCTTGGGCTTGTTTAGATTTCGTATTGCCGAAGGGTGCCATTCCGCTCGGAAACAAGGTAGCCCCAAGTTCAATTCTATTTAAATCAAGTCCCAAGCTCCCGAACTGCTCGGGTTTCCCTTTTGGAGGATGCAATTCCTAAGTTCAGCTGTCGAGAAGTCCATCATGGCTGCCAAGAACCACCAGAGACCACCCTTCCGCGCGGAGCACATGGGCTCGCTGTTGCGACCCAAAGCTCTCACGGACAAGCGCATTGCTTTGGATGAGAAGAAGGCTGTTGAGATTGCTGCGGATGAGGAGCTGAACCGTCTAGAGGAGGAGGGTGTTCGTGAGATTGTCAAAACGCAGCTTGACCTAGGCTTTCATGCCATCAATGACGGCGAGTACCGACGTCATCAGTTTTGGGGCAACTTCTTCCCTGGCCTAGAAGGTTTCGAAGAAGTTCCTGCTCCTAGCTGGGATATCTTCCGCATGTATGTGCCAGACATTGCGGCTTTCAGTAAGTCATCGGGTTCTTATGTGAGAAAAGACTCTGTGATTAACAATGTCTCCTAGTCGAGAGCGACCACAAGCCGGGAGAGTCCATCCTGTGCACTGGCAAGATCAAACACAAGGGCAGCACTTATCTCAGAGAGTGGGAGTACCTCAAGACTCTCATTCCTCCTGAGAAGGTCAAGGACGCGAAGCTCACCCTGCCCGCTCCTGAGTGGTACCACCTGAGATACAAGAAGGGTCATGCATACCCCAAGGATGTCTATGCCAACGACGAGGAGTATTTCGCCGATGTCGCCAAGGCGTACCGTACGGAGCTGGAGGTTTTATACGACCACGGCGTCCGTAATGTCACCATTGACGACCCCAACCTGGCGTGTAAGTTCCCACCCCTCTGTTTGTTTCACGAGGCCGACAAACTAACAACCATCCAGACTTCTGCTCAGAGAAGATGCTCCAAGGATTCAAGGACGCAGGCGAAGACTCCGACGCCCTGCTGCAATCCTACATCAAGCTCTACAATGACAGCATCAGCTCCCGCCCGGCGGACATGCACCTCGGCATCCACCTCTGCCGCGGCAACTTTGCATACTCCCGCCACTTCTCCGAAGGCGGCTACGACCGCATCGCTTCCCGCCTCTTCAAGGAGATCAACGCCGACACGTACTTCCTCGAGTATGACACCGACCGCGCCGGCGGCTTCGAGCCCCTGAAGGAGCTGCCCGCGCACAAGAACGTCATTCTGGGCGTCATCACGTCCAAGTTCCCCGAGCTCGAGGACCTCAACAAGATGCGGGAGCGGGTGTTCCAGGCGGCTGACTTTGTGGCGCAGGGGGCTGGCCAGACCCGCGAGCAGGCGTTGAAGAGGATTGGCGTGAGTCCGCAGTGTGGGTTCGCCAGCCACCACCTCGGCAACTCGATTACACACCAGGATATGGTGAAGAAGTTGGACTTGGTGAGGAAGCTTGCTGACTCGATTTGGCCTGGTGAGCCCTGAGGGATATGAGTGTTTTGAGCATTAGGCGGCGTAGAGGAGTGGCGTGTAGCGGGTCGAGGCAGATTTGTCCATGGCGGTATTTGCTGTATGTACATAAGTGACAGCAGACCTGGGCAAGAAACGGCTTGTGGAGTTTTGTTGCTGGGTTCCTAGCAGCTCTAGAAACGCGATGTTGAAGATTAAAGACCGAATCTTGATGTTTTGCATACTCTCGACACATTGACGTTTCAAACTCCGTACAAGACAGATGTGATGATATTGAGCTACTGCTCGAAATTGGGTATCTCAAGGGCTCTATGCCCAGTAAATTCGCCAAACGCCGTTTCATATGCCTCACTGGCAACAACTTCCCGCCACTGCTCTTCGAGATGCCGGACGAGAATGCACCCGCCCAGGGAAAGCTTCAAGGTCGAGGTTGGTCGGTCGTGTCCACATGGTCACACGGGCCTGCTTCTGTCCGCATCCACCTCTTTGCCAATGTCCAGATAGTTGCCCCTCCATTAGCACGGAGTAATCACATCGGCAGGGGCTGAGGGTTGTTTCCAACCGTCTTGTAGAGCTCGCGCAGCTCAAACTCCTCATGTCCGCCTTCCGGCACCTCCCCCACCACTCGCGCAGGCTGCCCCGCCACGACGCTGAAGCTGGGTATGACCATATTGGGCGGTACGACGGTACCCTCGAGGATGCGAACGTAGTCCTTGACGATAGCGAACTCGCCAATGACGCAGTCGCGACCGATGTGCACGTGAGTTCCGATGGAAGCGGCTTGAATGACCGTGTGTTGGCCGACGAAGACGTGGTCGCCTATCCGGAGGGGCATGTAGGTGAAGGCACTGAACAAATCAGAAAATCAGTCAAAGGTTCTTCAATTGGGGCCCAGAGTAGGAGGGAAGCTGCTCACCCCTTGTACATCCGCCCCGGTGGCCGGAGGACAGCCCCTCTCGAGAGGAAGCAGTATCGGCCAATCGCGACGGCAGTATTGTTCCCAGGAGCACCACCGGAGGGTTGTATCGATCTTGCGAGGTCGCCGCGGATCATGACTTCGGGCTGGATGACGGTCTTACCGCCGAGCATGATGTTTTGGGTGCCGACGAGCGTCGCCTTGCGGGCGACTTTGTTGCCCGTGTCCTGCGATCGGCGGTCAGTTTCCGGCGATTGGTCACAAACATAGAGCTAGACGCTTACGGTCTCAATGTAGTCTCCTTTCGCCGGTCTTCGCGACATTGTGAGCGAGTATTGGTTCTGGGCGAGGGGGGGTGTTCAGGAAGGTAGATGAGTCGCTGGCGATGATCGTAAGGAGGCGCGTTGGGGCTTGTGCTCTGACGTGTTTGCTGGCCCGGGCGGCGTGGGGCGGAAATACGGCGCACTCGGGCTGTCAATTGACTTCCCGGAGCTGCCCCGGCCCCTAAAGTTTCTATTGCCGACGACTTCAGCTCGCAAACCACGTCCACCACAAAAGCTGTCTGTGATAAGTAAGACATATACATATCCAAATTTTTAGGTTGGTTGCTTGACTTATGTGGCCATGTTCTAAAACTAGGCGGAGCGAGTCAGCGCGTATAGATAATAAGTTCCGACCAAAAGTTTTCCGGCCACCAACATACACTGTTACGCTATTTCATGTACAACGAACGGTCTTCTTCTCGACTCCTTCACCATGCGCCCTCCAATGAAGCGAACCTAGTTGCTTGCCACACTAGCTAATGAATAATATAAAATAAAGTGTTGCTCGATTTCGCGACCGTGAAGAGTAAAAATTGAAAAATGCGGCCAGTGTGGATTGAACACACGACCTTCAGATTGATTGAATGAAGTTTTTCAGATCAAGAGACCCGCTTCAGTCTGACGCTCTCCCAACTGAGCTATGTCCGCCGCAAATCTTCGATGTCGAGTCGAGCTCCACATCGTCTTGAACCACCAAGTCAAATCTCGTTGAACGTTTCATGTAGCTATGATAAATGGGCCATAGTAATAGTGCATCAATATCATGTGTACAGATTGGAGCTGTTTAGAGAATTGTTGTCAATTGTTATCTCAGAAACCTTAATTATCCTATAGATGCAAATACATCATCCTTAGGTGAAAACGCGAGGCGAGAGAGGGGGGGGCATGGAAGGGAAGAATTAACAAAGAAAGGCGTTGCCCGAAGAGCAACGAAAGAAAGCTAACGCCAAGGCTGCCAAACCTCATTTATGAACGACTGCGCGCATAGCCATGCAAGGCGCTTGAGAGGTAGGTATACAATAACTACGACCCTTGTTTGTTTGTAACCCCCTGTACCTGAATCGCTTCGTTATTTCTAAGAGAAAGGAACATTTCTCTACACAAACAAAGCAAGTACTAAATAGAGACAGTCTCTTAACGAGGTACTACCACGCTTACAAACTTATAAGGATTGTGTCGTACACAACTCCAGCCTGATTCGTTGTATGGAAACCTGATCGTCATCTGCCGCGGTTCACTACATCATTGCTGATTTTCTCGATCTTGTCTTCGCTTACCGCCTCATTCATTCCTTTCACAGAAGCACTCGCTGTACTTGGGCCTGACGAATTGCACGCGCGCGGACCACGTCAGCTTGGCTGAGATTTATCTGAGCTGGAGCAAGTCCAGAGTAACTCATCCCTTGCCAGCCTGAGACCTAGAGTGCCATTACATGCCGCTAGGAGGGCTCATTTAATCCAATTCGTTATTCCTAGACTGGCTGGACCGACAAATGGATGGCGCACACCATTGATTGGAGGCATGCGACCTGGTACATAAAGAGGGTGTGAAGCTAATGCAAATCAGCTTCGGCTTGCATTCTGGTCTCAGCCGGCTCTGTCAGGCAGCTAGACGCCCTATTTAAAGCATTGCCCACAACCCCCGCAATCTTACTGAGTAACTACTTCTGCAGACTACACCACACACTTCCGGGACTGTTTTCGTCCTTAGACCTCCGCTCTCGGTTTTTGAGAGCAGCAACGTTGAGTATGGAGGTCTTCGGGGTTCTTTCCTCGGTCATTACCATCGTCGAAGCCACATCCAAGTCATACAAAGGCATCAAAAAGATACGAGGTCTTCCAGAGGCCTTCGACACAGTCGGGCAGCAGCTTAATAGAGTCAAGAGACTTCTCGGCCAGATTTACGATCAGTCCAAAAGTCGGGGAGCCTCTGAAATCGACAAGGCACAAGCTGACTTGTTGAGTCTGACCGTGGAAGAATGCCGGGCGAAAGCAGAAGCCTTGGCAAAGGTCTTTCACGATCTTGAGGAGAAGTGCAATAAATTCGAAGAGTCCGCATGCGTTTGGAAAGACAAGTTCAATGACATTTACAGAGCTCTGCTGAAGGGGAGCAAAGCCAACCGGGTCGAGAGTTTGATGGAGGATCTCTGGAAAAGCCTACAGCGGCTGTCTACGATCGAAATCATAGGAACGAGCAATACCTTGAAAGGCGATGCCGCAAGCGCCATTCAGGATCTCGAGGAGGTTGAGCCGTCTTTGGATGATTCTGAATTTGATATGGGGTTTCAACCAACCCAGAAAGTTGGCGCGGGGGCAACAGGAACACAGACAAATGTGAAAGGCAACGACAACATCTTCAATTATGGAAACCTTCCAGGAGACTTTGCAGGCAGTCGCATCGACAACGTCCACTACGGAGGTAAGATCCATCGTACAGAAGGTTGATTGCATGTAGCTAAGTAATTATCTGGGAAAGCAAAGCAACCTCCAATTCCAATCGAACAGGTCAGGGTGAACTATCTCCATAACCTCAAAGGAACGGACTATGAAGCCTTACTCAGGGCTACTCGCTCCCGGCTTAAAGGAACTTGCCAATGGTTTTCCGAACATCCGGAATTCAGAAACTGGTTGAGCAGCAGTGAAGGAATACTACTAGTCACGGCCGGCGCTGGCTGTGGCAAATCCGTTCTCGCCAAGTATCTTATTGAAGAATTACTCCATCAGGAAGCACCTAACGCCACTCTCTGCTATTTCTTCTTCAAAGATGGCAAAAACAAAGACCAAGGCGTTTTGGAAGTTGCTAGGGCGCTTCTCCACTGTTTTCTCGAATCAAATCTCAAATCAAATCCAGCTTTGGTGGATGTTTGCATGGAAAGTTTACGCTGGACGCCCCAGGAGACCCGAGCCACTTGGATAAAGAGTCCCAGGAAGATATGGGAGGTGTTTGAAAGTCTACTCAGTGAACATAACAAAGGCCAAACCATTTGTATCCTGGACGCACTCGATGAAAGTGACGCCGGTCAGAGGGAAGAACTTTTACTATATTTGAAACGCTCCGTTGCTGCCAGCAACACAAAGCCAAGAGCCAGGTTTATCGTTACGACTCGAGGGTATCCCCAAATCGTTGATATGTTCAATGATTTGTCTCGGAACAAGGTTCATTTGGACGGTGATGACGACGATGAAAAGCGTCAAATCCAGAGCGAGATCAGCATCGTTATGGAGCATCGACTGAATGAGCTAGGGAACAAAATGCGCGGGCTCGAAACAAAGACGCTGGAAATAATACGTCAAGCACTTTCCAAAACGGGGTCGAAGCAAAGGACGTATCTATGGATGCATTTGATGTTCGACTGCATTCAACGAACCCGATGTTCTTCTCGCAAAGCATGGGCAGAGTTCTGTCAGAGCCTTCCCGAAACAGTCAACCAGGCCTACGAGAAACTCTTCCAAAATATGGAATCTTCCGAAAAAGCGAATGTTCGCGTGCTACTGGGTCTGATACTGGCAGCAGAGGAGCCTCTTTTCGTCCAAGAGCTCAGTATCGCTGTCAGTGCCTGGAAAAGTGCGTTCGAACTTGACCAACTGAAAATTTCTGATTTATTGGCGGAAAGAGAGTTCAAGGACTGGATTCAATGGAACTGTGGCTCTTTTGTCACCTTCCATGATAGGAAGGCGTACCTGATTCATCAAACGGCCAGGGAATTTCTATTGGATCAGTCTTGCTTCGGCGGATGGCAAGGATCAATGACAAAACACATGGTACATCGTTATATGGCGGAGAGTTGTATCTCGGTTCTATCTCTCGACGTGCATATCCGCGACAACATTCCACATGATCAAGATCACTCTGGACACACCGAAACAGCTGTTCGGTCGAGCTTTGGGACTTATGCAGCACGTTCTTGGGGCCATCACTTCAAAGAATGTCAGGTGTTGCTCCCCGGCACCAAAAGTATCCAAGATGTTGGTGAAAAGTTCGTCGAAAAGTACATGAAACTCGGAGTTCAGATTACAGTCAAGGAGTCTTTCGGGAAAGGTAGGTTTGGAACCCCGCGGATCCAATGCTCCGAGACCATCAACAAGTACAACAGTAAATGGGAAAAGGTATACAAGCTCCCATCTCTCCCATGGTTGCCCGACAAAGTCTTTACACTCTCAAGACTTGCGTGTATCCTTGATCACCAGCGGCTCCTAGTTTTTGCTTTGGAAAGACTTAAAAAGAATCCCGATCCAGAACCTGAAAGCGGTTTCTATCGGATTGTTGAAGACTTCATCATTGGCGGTCGTCGTGGAGGAAATTTGGCTCTTCCCCATTTCGCAGCAGTCGGCGGTTCAACTGTGTGTCTATCATACCTTCACCAAAATGGGTACAACATGGACCTTCAGGATCAGCAAGGCAATACACCTCTTCATGTGGCATTCATGATCAACAACGAAGAAGTCATTGAGACCCTCCTTCAGTTCAATGTCTCAACAACCGTATTGAACTCTTATGATCAGACACCCATCATGCTTGGCATTATCTGTTGCGAGGGGCCGTCTTGGATTGCGGAGTATGTCCAGTCTCTCAATCACGACGATGCTGAAATGGGATCTCTTCTGTGTTCACTAGTTGCGCTTGAGAGACGTATCCCTTATGAGATTGCGGAGATGTTGAAGACGGACAGTTGCCAGCTTGAGACCGGTGCGTACGGCAGGTGGAAAAAGATGTCATGGGATACATCACATCCCCTATACCTTTTTGACCGATTGCAGATCGAACCTGGACTTCGAAATGCCCAAGGTCTCACTGGCCTTCACGTGAGCGCTCAGAAAAAGGGTCTTATCTGCAATCTCATGGACTTGTTTCACCTTGGTAAAGTGGATGTTGATGCACTTGATCCCTGCGGAAATACGCCTCTGCATGTAGCTGCGATGACTGGCAATTACTACGGGGCTCAAATTTTGATAGTTGAAGGGGCCGATTTCAACTGCAGAGGAGACCGAGGCGACACTCCATTGCATCTGGCATGCAAAAATGGTCACTACCGGACAGCCGAATCTCTTTTGATAGTGGGAGCTGATATTGAGATCGCAAATGACGATGGCTTGACCGCCTCTGAATGCTATGGGCCACTACTTTATGAGCTTGGTTTAAATGTGCTCAAACGTGGTAGTACGGGATTTGTAGGGAGTGCTTAGAGATAGGGGAATGGTCCGCACCACAGCAGCTTCGTCTGGGACCACCGAAATCTGTAGAAGGACGGGAAATACAAGAGAAACTACAGAGAGTACAGGAGCAGAAGCGAATAAGAAATTGACCAAAAAAAAAAAAAAAGAATTTCAATCTTGAAAAGCCTCAGAAGCAAATCAGAATGTACCACAGAGACGGCTACAAGAATATAACCCAATATGGCGTCTTTAGTACCAACACACCGCACCCTCCGACCTCACAAGCGCGGTCACCGCCATCACCCAACATCTCCCCCATCCTCTTTCAGGTCGAAGGAACATCCGCCCTCACCACCACCAGCCCATCATCCAATCCTCCCTCTGCCCAGCTTCCTCCTCAAAAGCGACACCCACACCTCCACCGCACCAACCGCGGCTGACCACCCTCCCCTTACCTCAAGTCCCTAATTCAAAATAAACTCACCACATCTCTACCAACAGAGCCACAAGCCCAATATCCGACCGACAAACAAGCCACTCTCCCAATCCTCCTATTAGACCGCATGTGGCATGCGCAATAAGCGCTTGGCGGTTGCGTCCCGCACCCGCTGATTGGCCCACGGACGCGGTGGGTGTCCGCGCTCACCACAGCCGCGACCACTCAACCATCACCCGAAAAACAGATGCATTCTTTTGATTATGTGCAGACAGACTAAAGCACACTCTGCCTTAGTCCAGCATTTCGCAGTGCAGTAGACCTCGCAAAATCGGATGATGGGCGCGCCGAACCCCCTAACTTGCGCAGCCTGCCTTGTCGGTGGAAATGCAGTGTCTCGGGCCTCTTCCGAACCTCTCCAATCCCATGAACTGGTCATTAAAAATCAAGAAAGATGTCAGTTGCGAAAGCAGGCTACACGTCTTTGCGACACCACCTGTTGCCCGCGCCGCAGGAGGGCATACGTTGGAGACAAACTTGGCTTACGGCCCAAGCTCGCCATAATCTATATCCTGGTCCCAACAGAGCAACCCAACCTGGAAGTCGGTAAAATGCCCCGACGCAGGATCCGGGGGTGGTCGACAACCAACGGCCGACGGCCAGGCCAACAGGCCGCATGTTGGTCCTCATTCTCCCAGGCAGACGGAAAAGAATGAAAGAATGCGCCTCGTGGCCATGTGGTCGCCGAACTACGCCTCTGTGAATAGCAAGGAATACTTGGCATTGATCGGACGGTTGGCAGAGGCCGAGTGCCGTACAATCGGGTCTGTCACGGAGGCAGACATGTGGGACGCATCTTTCAAACGGATTCTGGGATACTCGCTGCTGTGCATAACCCCTGAGTGCACACTGTTTCCAGACTTCTGGCATCTAGGCAAGTAGGAATTCCGTTTCGAAGGGATCCGTAACCCCAAGACCCCGTGTTTGTCCATTTCCACCATTGAAATAGCATCGTGGTGTACTCAGGGGCTGCAAAATGTCACTGCCAGGTCGCATTGCACCTCTCTGACGGTCGGAGTAAAGTTTGTTCAAGTCATCTTACGGTCAGGATGGGTATCTCTCGTTTGATCACCCGCACATCGGCAAAAAGTCAGGACGAACGACCTTGCGGGCTCCCCAGGGAAGGTGATCCCCCATAATTGTGGTCTTTCCCCTGACAAGAACATCGTGTTGGTTGGGCGTCGTTTTTGGGGTAAGAGAGAGATCACCGCAATTGGGGAGAATCGTACAAGACTTGGTCAGTGCGTTTAACAGTCTGAAACGTGGGCTAAGGAGTTAGTGGCCGTTTGAAACGAAAGCTTCCCCTTTGTTGGAGAACGGTTAAGGTCGATTAGAGGTGGGAATGTTTTGGGAAATGGTGTTGTGAATTGCAACGCAAACTGCACGTTGATGAATTGAGTTTTTCGAGGTTTCGAAGAGTGCGATTGCCTAGTTTGTGAAGGTGCGGGCGGCGCGGTTGGTATCTGAGACGCGATTTACACGAGGTTTCCGTCGTCCCATGTCGCGGGTCTGAGATCGGCTCATGGGGGTTTAGATTGCGGGCAAGGATGGTGAGGGTTTGTTGGTGCTTGTCCTTGTTCTTGGCGGGGATTCTTCTCGGCTTCGCGACCCGCTGGCTGGTTCTGACAGCACGGTGGCAGATAGATGTGATGGGGGATACGGATCATCCCGAGAATAAGCATGAACGCCGTAGATGGCCACGATGATGACCGCGCCTCACTCACGATGATTTGAGATGTCTGCGACGAGAAGCGATAGCGACCAAGCCTCGCGGCGCTGACGACACTTGCGACACCGTGATTCAGGAACAGAAAGGCTATTACTTTCCGACGGAGACTCCGCGAACGAGGTTCACCCGGCCGAATCGCATATAAAGTTTGCCATTCTGAGGTGAAGCAGATGACACAGGGCTCATTGCGCCCCGCCGCCGGTTCCAAGGTAGGATTCTGCCGACTCGTGCACCAGGAACCGTTGCCAATTTACCGGCGAATTTTCCTTTGGCTGTGGACAAGGCGCGGGAGAAGCTCGCCGCCGCGACCGAAATCCCCTTGCCTCCCGCGGAATCTCAAACGTGGCAGGGCAAGAGATGGCTCGTATCCTGGGGAAAGGAAAAAAATGTCCGTACTGACGGGACGGTGTGGTATTGCAGATCTCCAGACGAGGTAACGGTGACGTGACTGCGTCGAGTTTCAGGTCCGCAATGTTTGAATCGTGATGGCTGACGGCCTGGATAAGAAACGAGGTTGTGGCAGAGAATATCGTTGTTTCTTTGCAGAAAAGGTTCAATACGGGGTCGGTTGTCAGGAGACGAGAGGTTCCAGTCGCGTCTGAATTAAAGTGCGGTTGTGATGTGATGGGTTCTGAGAATCAGTGGAGCGTTGCGGGCGAACAGACATTGTTCCCGTGGTGAACAGTGCGTCGCCTAAGCAAGGAAACGAAACGTTCTGGACGCAGGGGACATGACGCCGAGAAAGTTGGGTGTCGGAACGGCAGCCGGGCTTATCGGAGTGCCGTTGATCGTAAGCAGCGAAGAAGAAAACGGCGCGGTCGGCCGGTCGGCGACATTCCGGGCGTCGAAGATGCCCAGATGCTTGGATCTTGTCATTGTCATGGCCAGCCTCCCGGAAAGAGGCACTTCCGCGGTGGTGTCTTTGCAGTGATGGTATTTGGGGAAACAATGTCATGTCATGTGTCTTGCCAATGCTTCCCCAAATAAACAACCCCTCAGTAATTCTCTCACTGTGACTGCTCACGCTAGGTGGTGTACGACCTACTGCACCTGCTGGCCATCAATTTTAGAAGCAATGCCGCTTATTGAGCCAGTCAGCGCGGGGATGGTGGGCTCCTCCAACGGCTTCGGTCCCACGAGCAGCCGTGCTATATTTTGTGAGCGTGCTTAGCGGAAGCGTGGCAGCCGACAGTTGAGTGCATCCTGAGGGGACCTTGGCCACCGTCAGCCCGTCATTGCGGTATGAATGCGGATTAGCGGGGAGCGGGCGAGAGGCGCACAAGGATGGAGACTGTGAGGGGTTCGAAGTGGCCGGTTAGCCGCGCCCACCCGCGATGGAGACTTGACCGTATCGAGAGAAACGGTATGGCGAGGTGACATTCTGGAGGAAGGCCATGGCACAAGCGAGCGCCACATTGGACGGGCTGCAGATGGGAAATGAGGAAGGTACTTTGACGTCCGCGGAGGAGTGGCGTTTTCCAGTCCGTGAGGGGTCGCGACAGGTTTCCAGCCAGGGTCGACTTTTGACAGGACATTGTTGAGACGGTGGCACCGACGACGACGACGAGGAGAGACAGAGTTGGCACCATGTCGGCTATCTCAGACGGCGAGGTTGTCTGACAAGCGGACGTTGGATGGTGTATTCAAAAGCCAAGATGGCCAAGCCTCTTGGCTTCAGAGATCCGCGCGCTTTCCCACAAACCCAAGACATTCCAAGCGAAAACCCAGATTCATTGTCATCGACTCGTAGGTAGTAGGTATCCGTAGGCGCACAGCGGATGCAAAAGCTTGCAGCCATCGCTGCTGACATGTTCCGTCATAATTTGTTTCTTTATCGAGGAAGGGGGCTCATCGCCCTGGTCGAGGTGTCAGCGTTTGGAATCGGGAGATTAGGCAACCCCAAAGAACGGCGTGTTGGGACGGTGGCTCGCGTGGCTGTTTGAAGGATTGATTGACAGCGTTTTCCCAACGCCATGTTTTGAGGATGAATGCAGTCAGACGGGTAAGATGCTAGCCATGTTTCTGAGCCACGAGGTCGGTCGAAGTCGAGGTCGATGTATTCATCAGAGGTCCCAACAGGCTGACTGCGTTGTGGTGCAAGTTGCTGGAAGGAACGATACATTCGACGAAGAAACGGTTTCTGCCAACTGAATGCAACTGGCTGCAAAGGCCGGCAAACGGGCCCCTCCCAGCCACTGGCAACCCTACAGACAGGCGACGGCTGCCGTCTTGGTTGACGGCGTGGTTGGTGGCTGCCTTCCGACTAGACGCGCATTGCGCCAGGCATCCCCGCAGAGCGTCGCAAGGAAGGGGAAGGGTCCATCGTGGTGGTGTGGGGCCACCGCCTTCCTCCCCCGGTACACTAGGTAGTCTAAGAGGTACGTACCTTTGATTTTACGGTTGCCCGTTTGCTCTCACCTTCCACCTTCCACTTGCACTGCACACTCGAACCCCCTTCGTCTCATCTCTCTCCAGGAATACCTCGTTGGGAGAGCAAAGGGGAAGGCTTGAACATGGCACTCGGCAACCTTCTTTGACCTCAATCTCCACCCACTGCCACGAGCTACCCATACCCGACATGGGTCGACGGGCGTTCTTTCTGCCCTCGAGAAAGAAACTCTCCATGGGCACGGACGAGATGCTTGCATGACCTCGCATCCCATCCTACCTATCCATCCTCTCCAGGGACACATGAGAAGAACATGGAGGTGGGCCAAGAATGACTCCGTGTTCCCAATTGCCTCAATTCTCCTTCTCCTTCCGTACCTCTCTCTGCCCAGAGCGTGCCCCCCATGAACCCCTTCC